AAATAGAGGTTAGAAAAATGATGGAATCCTTCAATGATCAGCAGAGGAAAGAAATAGCATGAAGCAGAGTCAAAAAGATACAGAGGAACTTAAAATCTCAATCACAAGTTTGCAAAACTGTTTGAGTGAAAGTGAAGACAGAGTTTCAGATCTTGAAGATGCCATCGTGGCTATTGAAAAGGTAAGAAAAGATCTCTCGAGAACAACTAGGATACAGGAAAAAATAATTCATCACTTGCAAGACGATGCAAAGATGAACAACATGAGACTAACAGGCATTAATGAGAAAGAAGGAGTCAATAAATTGACATAAAAAGAATATGGGCAGAAGTAATAGAAGAAAATTTCCCAAATATGAGGAAACAATCTGACATTCATGTAACCAAAGCATTCAGAACTCCAAATAATATCAACCCAATGAAAAATACACCAAGACATATAATAGTCAAGATTCCAAAAATGCAGCACAAAAACAATTATACTAAAAGTCACTAGAGAAAAGAAACAGATCACACTTAAAGGAAAACCCATCAGAATAATGGCAGCCTTCTCTTCATAAACCATGAAGTCAAGAAGAGTGTGGAGCAAAGTACTTCAGATGCTCTATGAAAAAAATTCCAGCCCAGACTACTATAACCTGCAAAACTCTCTTTCAAGTTTGATGGAGACGTGAAATACTTCCAAGAAAAAGAACAACTAACGAATTTCATGATGACAAATCAACCCTACACAGACTACTAAAAGATGTTCTAGAGAGGGACCAAAATGATCATAACTCCATGAACAAGAACAGAAGGAACACAATAAATAGGGCAAACAATTAAACAACAGCAGGTAAAAAGGATAAACAACAGCAGAAAAAGGATAAACAACAGCAGGTAAATAACATGTTGAGTGTAAATTGATATATCTCAATTATAACTATCAATGTAAATAGATTCAATTCACCAATTAAAAGAAATAGACTGACACAGTGGATAAGAAAGCAAAAATCCAACAATAAGCTGTATACAAGAAACACATAGCTCATAAAGGAATTCATAGGCTGAAAGTCAAAGGATGGAAAATGACACGACAGGCCCCAGCACCTCAGAAAAAAGAAGGAGCAGTAATCCTGTTCTGGGATAGTTTCAAGTTCAAACAAAGAATGATTAAAAAAAAAAGCCACGGGGCCGGGGAGATGGCTCAGTAGAATAAGCACTTGTCTGGCAAGCCCAAGTGTCTGAGTTCAATCCCCGGTTCCACCAAAAAAAAAAAAAAAAAAGCCACTATATACTAATTAGGGAAAAATTCAAAAGGAAGGGGTAACACCCATAAATATGTACATACCAAACATGGGAGCACCCACTATATAAGACGCATCTTAATGGACATGAAAAATTTAGTATCCAACACCACAATATTAACAGGAGACCTTAACATCCCCTTATGCAAAAACGATAGGTCAAGAAGAAAAAAATTAGCAAAGAAGTAGCAGAACTGAACCAGACCTTGGAACAAATAGAGTTAATGGACATATACAGAGTGTTCCACACAAACACAGCTGAACACACATTTTTTTTCAGCTGCAAATGGGTCATTTTCTAAAATAGATGACATACTAGACCATAGGTTATGCTTAAGTATATTCAAGAAAACAGAAATTATCCCATGCATATTATCTGATCGCAGTGCAATGAAACTGGAAATAAATACTAAAGAAACCGGAAAAACTCCATAAATACATGGAAATTAAACAGCACCCTACTCAGCAACAAATGGTGCACAGAAAAAATAAAACAAGAAATAGAATAATATCTACAATTCAATGAAAATTCAAGCACAGCTATTCAGAATATATGGGATGTGATGAAAGCAGTCCTTAGATGGAAAATTATAGTTGTGAACTCATAGATTAGGAAAACAGAACGGGAACAAATAAATACCATAATGCTGCACCTTCAACAATTAGAAAAAGAAGAGCAAACCAAGCCCAGAGCCCAAAGATGGGAAGAAATCATAAAGATTAGAGCAGAAATTAATTCAATTGAGATGAGAAAACTGTTCAAAGAATTAAAGAGTCAAAAAGTTGGTTCTTTGAAAGATTAAATAAAACTGATAAGCCCCTAGCTAACCTCATCCAAAAAACAATTTCAAATATAAGCAATAAGGAATGAAAAGGGTGTAATTACCACAGACCCAGTGGAAATTCAGAAGATTATGAAGAACTATTTTGAGAATCTTTACGCTCACAGAATGGAAGACACAGAAGAAATGGACAGATTCCTGGAAAGGTACAAATTAACAAAACTCAATCAAGAAGATATAACTATTCTAAGTAACCCAATAACAGCAGATGAAATAATAAATGTAATAAAAAAACCTACCGACAATGAACAATTACTGTTCTGATGGATTTCCAGCTAAATTCTACAAGAAACTTAGGGAAGATATAATCCCTATAATCCTTAAACTCTTCAATGAAGTTGAAAAGGAAGTAATCTTCCCAAAATTTTTCCTGGAAGCAAGTATTATACTGATACAAAACCAGGGAAAGACACATCTAAAAAAGAGAACTACAGGCCAATCTCCTTCATGAACATAGATGCAGAAATTGTCAAAAAAAATTCTAGTGAATAGAATACAACAAATCATCAAGAAGATTATACACCATGACCAGGTAGGATTCATCCCAGGGATGCAAGGATGGTTTAATATACACAAATCTATAAATATAATACACTATGTCAATAGAGCCAAATCCAAAATCCACATGATCATCTCAGTTGATGCAGAAAAGAATTAAATAGTCAAACTCCAACTGAGACTCATTCATGTTCAAAGTGCTACAGAAAATTGAAATAGAAGTCATCTACTTCAACTTGATAAAAGTCATCTATGACAACAGTGGCTAACAATTCTAAACAGCAAAAACTGGAATGCTTTACTCTCAGATCTGAAACAAGACAAGGATGACCTCTATCACCACTCCTATTCAATATAGTTCTGGAATCATTAGCTAGAGCCATTAGACAAGAGAGAGAAGTAAAAGGAATAATCACAGGTAAAGAAGAAGTTAAACTATCATTGTTTGCCAGAGATGATATTTCACTTGGAAGACCCAAAACTCCACCAAGAAGCTACTAGAATTAATACACAGATTCAATAGCATAGCAGGATACAAAGTCAATACCTAAAAGTCAGTAGCATTCCTCTACACAAATAACAAGCAAACTGAACGGGAAATTAGAGAAATAATACCTTTTGCAATAGAATCGCGGAAAATGAAATACCGTGGAACTAATCTAACTAAAGAAATCAATGATCTATTTAATGAAAATTACAGTACTCAGAAAAAAAATCATAGAGGATTTCAGAAAATGGAAAGATATTCCATGCTCCTGGATAGGAGGAACCAACATTGTGAAGACGACCATACTCCCAAAATTGCTGTACAGATTTAATGCAATATCTATAAAACTACCACCAACACACCACACAGACCTAGAGAAATTATTCCTAAAATTTATTTGGAACCCAAGAAACCTAGAATAGCAAAGGCAATCCTCCGCAACAAAGAAGAGGCAGAACACATTACAATTACTGACTTCAATTTTACTAAAAATGTAAAGTGATTAAAGCAGCATGGTACTGTCAACAAAACAGACTTGAGAATCAATGGAATAGATCAGAAGATGCAGAAGCCTCTATAAACACACTCAGCCACCTGATCTTTGAAAAAGGGGCCAAACATGCTTACTGGAAGAAAAATAACCTCTTTAACAAATGGTACTGGAAAAATTGGCTCTCTGCATGCCGAAAACTAAAACTTGACCCAAGTCTATCACCATGCAGTAAGATAAAGTCAAAATGGATTAAAGATCCAAACATTAAAACAGAAAAACTAAATCTTCTGGCAGACAAAGTACAAGGAACTCTTGAAGACATAGGAACAGGCAAAGAGTTCATGAACAAAAATCACATCGCACGGATAATACTGGAAAGAATTAACAACTGGGACCTTCTCTTATTGAGAACTGTTTGAACATATTATGGGGGGAAAAAAAAGAAATTACCAACAAAGTGAAATGACAACCTACAAATTTGGAAAATTTTACTAATAAGCACTCAGACAAAGGTCTGCTCTCTAGAATTTATGAAGAACTAAAAAACATTAGGGACTCAAAATTTAAAGACCCAATTCAGAAATGGGCATTCAAGATGAACACACACTGTTCAGAGGACAAAATTATAGAAGTGAATACATGTATTAAAAAGTGCTCCCTTTCACTAGCCATTTGTGCAATGCAAACTAAAACAACACTGAGATACCATCTCACGCCAGAAAGAATGGCCATCATAAACAAATCAATGAACAACAAATGTTGGAGAGGCTGTGGAGAAAAGGGACCCCTTCTCCACTGCTGGTGGGAATGTAGACCAGTGCAACCATTTTTGATATCAGTGTGGAGACTCCTTAAAAAACTAGGACTGGAAATCCCTATCAAACCAGCTATACTCCTATTGGGAATTTTCCTCGAGGAACTGACAATGTCATAGCAGCACAATTTGTGATAGCCAAATCTTGGAAACAACCAAGATGCCTGTCACCTGAAGAATGGATGAAAATGATGTGGGATATTTATACAATGGAGTATTATTCAGCTATAAAGAGTGATAAACTCAAAGCCTGTATATTTAAGTGGATGCCACTTGAAGATATACTCATAAAAGTGAAATAAACCAGACCAACATGTGTAAATATCATATAGTCTCCCTAGTGTAAGGACTCAGAAGAAGAAATAAAAAGAGTAAAATACAGCACAATTAAAAGGAAAGCGAGGTGCGCCG